AAGGAGGCTGAATGGTGGAGAAAGTTTATATCAAGGAAAGTAGATGGTGCCTCATTGGAAGTGTGCTAAGGTACCTTTTTAATGCCCATATTGTCTGAATTCCTGCGAAAGCAACTTGGATCTCCGAACATTTCAGTGCATTTATACAAACCACTTCTTATCTACTTTGGCTGACTGCTCACTGTTCACATGTAGAAAGTAGGCTGACTTTTCCAAATTTTAGGGCCCCGAAGATTTAATGGAGAGATAAAGAGAAAATATCATTTGGTAATTAGGGTAATTGTTAAAATTAGCAAATGTTTCCTGCATTCTATGTCCAATTTCATTCTTTTGAGATACTCAATGATGCCTGGTAGTCACAGCTTTAACATATCCCAGATTTCTTGGTTTGGTTTTATTAATAGATTTATGTGTATGTGTATACATAATCTGATTTTTAATCTTAATAAATACTAAATATTTACTTATTAATTCACTATTAGTAAATGTGCTATCCTAGATGGTTATCAAAAGCTTCTTTTCACACGTTAGCTTGGCATTTAAGTTTCTTAAACAGAATGAGATTTAGGCAATTACAATAACATTGTGATTGTGTATATACTATGTTTAATTTTTCTGGATATTTTAGCTTTTTCATTTTAAAGATGGCAATTCTGAACTCTGTGCTTATCTAGCACAATGAAAGAATTACCATTTTTTTTTGCATGAGCTTTTGGCATGTTTGGTCATGTATTTTCACCATGAATATTATTCACTTATTTGATTTCTTCCTTGCCTTGAAAGATTATCAGCTTAGAGTTGCAATTTGCTGTTCATTAATTTAGTTATGTTTTTAGTATGTTTTAATTTCCTAATTTTCTTGACAGAACTTTTTTGCCTATAAAATAGTCTTTGAGGATAAAATGATTTAGATTTTTGTAGATATATATGTGTATTACATATGTTATATACATATGCACACACACATATATAAATGTATTACACATATACATATATACACAAATATATGTAAATCTATATTAATCTATAAAATAATAGTGAGAAATTATTGCACAAATTCTTGTATACATGGATGAACCAGTAAGGACATCCTTTTTCCCCAGAACCCTTCAAAATGCTTTGCAACAAGTTTCCACTTTAACTACAGGGAAAAGACCCTATCCTCTATTCATTTTTAAATGTGGAGGGAGGTTCTGTTTTGGATATTGCTTTGTTTTACATTTATTTGTGGGCATATTAATTGGAAACTCGTTTTTCCTGGCTTTTATGTGTCTTATATTTATGAATTAGCATACATGTATGTATATGGGAGTGTGTCTACATCTGTCTGTACACATATATATGAGGAAAATACAGAACTAAAGAATATAAGGTCATCTAAAATGGCTTATAATTGGTTGTATTGTTTCTTTTTGTGTTGAAATCTTGAATGATGACAGCTTTTATTAACATTTGAATATCCACTTTTTTGTACAAAATAACCATTTATCACAGTATGTACATAAGCAGTAAAATTGTGCGATTATTACTCACTGGAAAGATTTTAATTTTAGATCAGATAAATATATTCAATAGCATGATATATTTGTGTAAAATGTGTTTCATTTAAATTTTTATTATGACATTTTGTGAAAGTGTTGATTTTTCTGGGACCATGCTGCTGCGAATTGGTTGTTCTTTAACAAAATATTTTTAGACTTTACCATAGTGACTAAATGCTCTGTGCATTTCCTGAACTTTGAAATGGAGAAAACTAAGCCTATCTTTTGATAAAAGATTCAGATTGTATGTTTTTCTGTATGCTTTCTAAACAAATTTGCTAACAGCTTTCAGTAACATTTCCAAATGATTTTTTCCCATTTATAGAAGAGAGGAAAATTGAAAATTTACTCAGATTTTCTTTTTTTACTTTTTGAATTTTTCTTTTTTAATTTTAAAAAGTATTAACTAGTCACATATACTACATGCCATTATTATTCATAATATAGTCACACTATCTATACAATCTATATTATTCATATTTTCTTTATAAAACCACAGACCGTTTTCTGTCATGAAACAAATCTGGGTTGTATTGGAACAGATACGTTGTCAGTTAAAGGAGTTTTAAGGTTTCCTTCTTGCATTGATTGTCTTAAGCTTTAAATCAATGTCTGGCTCTTAATTGTAGTAAATGGCATGACACACTATATCCATGGAGAGCTTTTGACAAAAACTTATTTATCAGAATTTCCTTGACGTGTGGTTTACTCAGGTGGCTTCAGTCTCGGTGCTGGTGCTAGAGCACAGAGCAGTGTCATTACTGTGAACGCATCTTCTGCAGCTGATATCCTGTTCCCTTTCTATGTTGATATTTTTCTTTCTTAAACTTTGTTGCTCAGAATATCTTTAATGCTAGCCAAGGAGTCAGGGATTTGGACGTATTTTCATGGACTTCCAAAGCTTTTTTCCCCCAGGTGAGTTAACTGTAAGGAACAATCATACATTATTCAGGTATTTCAGCATGTATAACAAATTTCCATTATATCCTTTGAAACCTTTGCTTAAGATTAATAATTTTTTTAATCAAAAATCTATAAAAAGTGCTGCAGTTGTGTTTCCCCTGTAATCCTTTTCCAGTTAACTACTTCTAACAATGAATGTATTATTAGTTTAAGTTAAACTTTTACGTGACTTCCAATTTGATATGTTTAATTTTATGGCTAGCTTCTCCAGCATTTACACCCAAGTCTAACTTTTTCTGAACTAGCTTATTTAGGTGGGAGAGTCCCGACCTTATGGCCCTTCTTGCAGGGAGAAAAAAATAACATTGCAATTCATCACTTCCATGTGCTGGTGCCAGGTCTTACATTTCTGTATTGAATAAAACATGTATTTTAGGATTGCTTGAGAATGAAAGACTCAGTTCTGATTTTATGTCTATCAGTTTTTTCTGTACTGTTTAGTATAAAATAATAGGCTTTGTTTTAGATTTATTAATTTTAATAGTTTAACTATTCAATAAAATATTAAATATTTTGATAAAACTTCTCATGTACTGCCTTTCACTGAATAACCTGCAGTTATTATTAGTTTTTGCCAAAACTTACCTCTCAATGTTACCCTGAATGATCAAAAATTGGAAATATTGTTATACTTAATTAAATGCTCTAGACATATCATTAAAGACCAATGACATTTTTTTGCTAAATCTATTAATATTTGCTTGTGATTTTTGACATCAAACCGTGTAATTTTATTAAAAAATCAATTGTAATAAGGACTAACTTGCATCTCCCAACTATAAAATAGCATAATGTAATTACTAAAATTGATCATTCACAACTGGACATTTTAAAATATTTACCGAAAACCTTGTGAGTGTAGTAGCACAATTTAAAGTTTAGACCCTGCCCTCCATCTTTATTTTGAGTCCTCTTTGTATTCCTATAGTCACGTATATAAATTTTTTACAAGTATACATCTGTGGGTATATTAAATAGATTTTTTAAGGTTATATTAGATTGTAAATCAAGTGTAAGTTTTTCAGGTATTTACAATTCTCATCTATATTAAATTGCCAATTATAGCTAAAGAATTTCAGATAAACACAGTATGATAATTACAGTAAATGAAAATAAATATTGTTCATAGTGCACATTTGTATAAGTAAAAATTGACGATTATTGATCACCACTATGAAATTTACAAAATATTATGCGAAAGTTAATAGTGGCTCTAAAATTTTCCCTGACCAACCACATTGAATTAGAGTCACAGGTAAACAGAATTCTTGAAAACACATGTTTTTAACTTCAGGATATTATTTTTAATTTCCTACTGTGTAATAGATACGTTTACATTCCTCTTATATGAGACTGTTTATAGGGATAGAGCTATGCAGTAATATTTTATCTTGTATAACGTGTTTTCTCATTTTTATTCTAACATTACTAAATACTAATTTAAACCTAATATTTGAAAAAATGTCCCATTATACTTATCTTTTATTCTATTTGACTATAAAGCAATTTGTAGAGTGCATATTAATGTATTTAAAAATGCAGTGTCAGTCTGTTTAAAGGAGTAATAATGACAATAGAAGAACTCCCAGTGTGGAACTTTATTTACATTTAGTTGGGAAGAAGAGCAAATATGGGAAGGTTATTATTTTTCTGCATCCAATTCACATAAACAATTTTATCACAGCATTAAGATTCAACAGAAAATTTAGGGTATTTTCTTTTCTTTCATTTTAGAACTCTCTTTTATATCAAAATACATTGTATATGTAAAAATCCATCTTTAATGTTACCCTCTCATCTCTGCTAAGAGTATAATCACCTTTTTCTGCCAATAGCATTAATATATCACTGTTTAATAATGACATTTTATTTGTGCTATATTAAGAAAGCATGAGCTATTAAAATCTTACAAACATTCATATTTCATTCATAACTAGTACATACTAAGATGTAGCTGTATTTTATGCACATTTCTTCATTTTTATCTGTTTATCGATGTCTCTAGAGTCTTCGCACCTATTTTCTATATTTATAAATAATTATTACAGACAAAAGTCGAAGGAAATGAAGATTTAGGCTTTTTAACACATATCAACATACAGTAGTAGTACATTAATAATGATTCAAAATTATTCAGTTGTGGTTCACATAGTAAATTATTTTTGTTTCTCCTGCTGTTAAAAATTTCATTAAAAAGTAAAAGTAAAATCAAGTACTACTGTATTTTTCAAAATGTGGTGGGCAAAAGCCCAAGATTCAATTGCTGTCCTATTATATTTTCTTCTCTTCAACTTTATTTTAATGATTATTCAGCATTGAAAAACTGAACAATTCTTTAACGGTTATATTGACTCATACTTCAGTTATCTTTGGATATGTATTTTCTTTCTTAATTGACAGTATTGTTGAATTTGTGTAAAAGCTATTAATAGGAAGATGTTGAAAGTGATCAGAGATTGTATTTTGTTTATTTTGTTTTCCTATTCAAATTTTCAGGAACCTAAAACTAATACTGATGACTTTTTCAAAGAAATAAACTCCTGCTGCCCACAGGAAGCAACAATGCAAGAACAAGACATGCCGTTCATGCGAGGAGGGCCAGGCATGTACAAGGTAGTAAAGACGGGACCTTCCGGCCACAACATCAGAAGCTGCCCTAACCTTAGAGGTATCCCAATTGGAATGTTAGTTCTGGGAAACAAAGTCAAAGCAGTGGGAGAGGTATGGATTCTTGTAGCTTCATGACTTCTAAGACTTTCATTTTTAATATAATACAACCAAAGCATCTCTTTCTTCCAAAGGTTGCCATTTCCATCTCAGGTTTTTAAATGTTAATGTTCTTTGCCTTTATTCATATTGAAAATACTAATGTAATTTTCTGTGCTTCTTTTCTTATTTATTCTCATAATTATCCTTGTGAAAACAATATATATATATTAACAAAATGATGTATATTGTATATATAAATGTTTGGTATTTGTATATATCTTCTTATTACTAGAAATGTACTACACTGTCATGGATTAACAGCACTTCAGAATGTTTGCTGTGGGTCGATATGGAGATGTGACATATACAGAGGGTTTCATTTCTTTTTTCCTGTTCATGTGCCTCACTGAAGTCCTGAGCAAATAAAATTACTCTTTTGTCAACTGTGGCATTTGCCTCAGCTGATGAGCTTGAAGATGTAGTGTGTCATGCTATTTCTCAGTGTCAGGGTCATTTTCAAGTTGCATTGTAGGCACTACCAAGCTAAATAATAGAGTAAGCTGTGTTATGACATTATAGGTGCAAAAAAAAAAAAAAAAAAAAGAGCCATATGTCTTTGGGTAATGTTTAAAATTATTAGGAATTATCCATGTGCCTTAAAAATTATTTTAACTGAAGTCATAAATAAGCAGTATTTTACAGAACTTTATATTGATTTCTGTCTTACCTCAGGCTGTGGTCTTAATTTCAGAAACTAATTTCATGGTAAATATTTATTGGAATGATTACACTTCATACTCTTAAAACTGGTTTTCAGCCTGAGTGCCCTGAAAGAATCAATCCAATCAATCATGCTTTTTGTTATGTACTAGGTAACCAATTCTGAAGGTACATGGGTGCAGCTGGATAAGAACAGCATGGTAGAGTTCTGTGAGAGTGATGAAGGAGAGGCATGGTCCTTAGCTAGAGACAGAGGCGGAAACCAGTACCTCCGACATGAAGATGGCAAGTTGGCTTAAATTTGTGATTTATTCCAATTAGCTTTTCTAATGCAGAAGTTTAAAGTGTATTGTATTTCTTTTATTATAAGCACTTTGTGTATTTTTTAAGCAAAAGCAAAACTAAGTATTACAAAATCTTGCACTTGTTAAAATTTGTGAAATACACGAATGCACATCAAAAAAGAGTTAAAATGTGAAACATATGAGTTCCTGTTTGTAAAACATGCTTTTTATTTCATTAATTTAAATTCCTATCATTATTCCTATGTGCCAGTCCAGGACTGAATTTTTTACCCTTTCTACCACTAAATGGAAGTTCCATTTTCTAACCACCAATCATAGTACTTCTCCCAGGCAATTTTATGTGATTGAATTTTGTCTCAGGAAAGAAGCATTGAATAAATGCATAGCATCTTTTGGGGGTTTTCTATTTTGTTGTTAGAATTTCAGCTTTAAATTTCATTTTACCTTTTTCAGCAGAGAACTCATTTAATAAAAGATTTTCCATTTTGTCCCTCTGTCTCCATTCTCCTGGTAGCAAAGTCGTCCTTCAGAGTTCAGACCCATCATCACCCGAGTGGAACTTCATTCGACTGACCCTGACAGAGTTAAGAATTCCCTGTGTGCCCTAAAGAACTGTATTCACCACTAGAACAATGCGATGATATTACATTCAAGTTAATTTTTGTTTTTTAGTTCCCAGACTGTGAGTCCGTTGTGGACAGGCACCAGGTTTTTATCTTTGTATTCCTAATTCTGAAACTGTTTTGGCAGATACTGGTTGCTCACTAAATTTTGTAACTATAAGCTGAGTCACAAAAATATTAGGACATCAAATGAATAGGTAAATCAAGCATAGACTTTTCTACCAAATCCCCAAATTATAGGATAATGTCAGATAAGTAACTGGACATGCTTCTTTATCCAAAAAAGAATAAACTTATAATATTCATTATCCAATAGGTAATATAACCATAAGTATAAATATATTCAAGAAAGTTTTGAAACCTGCATGAAATAACAGAGTACATGTAGATATATTAACATTATACATTAAACATTCTCCCCTTTTCCCCACAGTAAGTCTTTGAGATAGGTTATATAATCTTCATTTTACAGGTAAGACATAGAATTTAAAATGACTTGCCTTTGGTTATAGACAATTGGATACATGGCAGATATAAGATGAGCCAGAAACTTCATTTGTATTGCAAAATAAGTGCCCATTCCACCATACCATACTGCGTCAATAATCCATTGAAAACAATTTGAGAACCTGCTCTCTCCCTTATCTTTATAGATTCACTTTCTTAGTCAAAGATGATGTTGTCATAAAATAATGTTCTGAGATGGTAGAACTATTCATTATGTCTTGAAAAAGAAAAAGACTTCATTTGATATAAATCAGACATTTTTCAAAATAACCTTCCCATTTACAATATACTTACTATGTGTTAAAATATACTTACTACATATTCATGAATTCTTAAATGTTTTCATTATATGGAATATTTACATATAAGTGAAACTACTTAAAGTAAGATCAGCTTTATATATTACATTGTTAAATAATATGAGAATGGTTTGAGTGACTATCAAAGGGCCCTTTAGCTTAATAGCCATTTTAACTGGCAATGTATAACACGTAAGAGTGGGCTTGAGCTGGATTGCCAGGGTACAAATGCCAGCTCTACAACTTTTCAGTTATGTGACCTCGGCCAGTTTACCTAATATCTCTGTGCCTCAGTTTTCTCATTTTCAAAATGAGGATACTTTATAAGTTCTGTATGAAAGACAAATGAACAAATAGTGTAATCACATAATCCTTTGCTCTTTTAACATATATATACACATGTGTATGTGAAAGAGATGTATATGGTCATAATGTGAGTCTTGATTTTTTTTTTAATATAAAACTTAGGGTAGTAAGGAAAGAGATGATAAGTTAGTGCCTTAAAACCACTAAAATTAGTTGATGTAGTATCCAAATAGTCTCCTAATTAATAAAGTAGTATAAGTAAAGTGAAAGCTTTCCTCTTTGTAAAAATTTTTTATTGGTCTTTGATGTTCATAGATAAAGCAAGTAAGCAAAGTTACTGCTGTAGTCAAAACAGACTTTGCACTTGGTGCCGGACTGTTCTGAATCTAGAGGATGACAGCAATGCTGTCTTTTCTGTTCAGATGACTGTTCATGAGTATTTTCCAGAAGAAATAGTCCACTGCTGAAATATCTTATACTGAAGAGCATTGCCTAAGGGAAGTGCTATGATTGGTTTAATGGGAAACGTCTAGGAATGTTCGTAAAGGGTTAGACTATATTACTGGCACAGCAGAATTCTGGTTTTCCGGTGGGAGAAAATACTCCACCATGTTCTTCTAGTTCCATTTTCTGTTTAAAGGGATACTGACTTTTAAAAATATTTAAACTCTTCATTTTCATAATGTTATTTTAATGTCCTAGGCACTTTTTTCTCTTTACCTTTCATTTAGTGAATTTTGCCTTTTTCAACTGGCATTAATATGACTATTTAATTATGCTATTAGTGTTTTTAGTATTATATCAGATAGATTCTTAGAGACACTTGATAGACACTTGATCAGGGATTAACAGAGTACCAATTTATATGTTGTTTTCTTGCCATTTGTAAACTAGATAAAATACTGCCATTTCCTTCTTAAAATAAGAATTCTGATAAATTTGCTGACTTCAGCATATGTTAATAGTCTTGACCACAGAACATGGTTTATCACCTTTATACTTTTTAATTAGCCATAATTTTCACATTCAGGACTTAAAGTATTTTGTAAGTGAAAATTTATTTTGGTATCATGCACTTTAGACATTTAGAAAACTTTTTTTCTATTTGAATACTAATGCATAAAATATTTTGATATCTGGCTTATACAGTAGCCATTTTTGTTTTGTATAAATTTATTACAAATATAAATTCCTGGTCCAGAAATAATTAGTATACATTCAATGACATAACCTGCCACAATGAAAGTAAATTGACTCCATAAGACTATTTCATTTCTAAATTTCACTGTGTATCTGATAATTGAAAACAAAGATTTGTCATATATTTTGTCAGTGTCATTGACCTAATTGGTAAACTTAGCAAATCTAAATGTGAGATTAGTTTAAAATCTGACCATCGTGAAAATCTTTCTAATTTTTTCTTTATTCTATGAATAGGGAAAGCATATAAGAAACTAATTTCATAGCTGTGCCTTTTATTCTAGAACAAGTTCTTCTGGATCAAAATTCTCAAACTCCTCCTCCAAGCCCTTTCTCAGTACAAACTTTTAACAAAGGGGCAAGTTGCAGTGCCCAAGGATTTGATTATGGACTCGGAAATAATAAAGGTAGGTGTTTAAAAGTAGTCTTTTACTTACCTAACTTTAATATTTTTATTACCTGCTCTTTTACCCATATTTTTTACTGTTTACCCACAAAACTTTATTAAAGTTTATTCCTATGAAACAATCAAAATGTTTATGAAGGTGTTCCTTTTATATTATCGCTTTTACCAGTTTAAGCTTAAGTTTATGGGAATTCTTGCTTATTTATTCCTATTTTAAAGACAGATTTTGAATTCACATTATATTCAGTGTCATTATGTCTAGTAAATGAACTTTTTGTATTATCTCCTTATTAGGAGTAATGTTAATGAGCAAAAAAGAACTTAACCAAAATGATTCCTTTAAGATCAAAATGTTTAAGTAATATTTTTAAGTAATAGTACATATGAGCTTTATTAAATTTGTGTGGCTTTTAATGTATAACCAAGTTATCTTAGTCAATTTAGAATTACATGACATGAAATCTGTGATTTCCATATGTATAATGAAGCTAGAAAGTTGTAAAAGAAAACCAAAAACCCTAGGCCATGTTGGTATAAAATGTATACAACTTTTTTGGCTGCATTAATAGAAGACATCAGCATCATGGACAGTCCAAATATTTGTTGTTTTGAAATAATTTATACCTGAATTTAACCCAAAATTGTATTTGTGTGTAAAAATTCGGACACATTCCATGTTCTCTCCTATGAACCTGATCCTTCGGAATCAATCATATTGTAAGCAGGTAGCACACAGTTGGATGATGAGTAGGAGGAAGAAAATAGTCTACATGGAACTAATTTTACTTTAAAATGTTAAATCACAGGATTTGATTTCAAGAAATAAATGCAGTGTCATACCTGACTTGCAAAGCAGGTGAAATAGTCTACAAAATACAAAATTACGTTAATATAGAGGAAATATTCAATTTAAAATAAAACCACTTTCTGTTTGATATCTTTATTTCCACAAAATATTTTTATTAAGGAAGCCTAGCCACAAGATTTCTTTTGGGCTCTTTCTACTTTATTGTGTTGATCTGTCCTACAGGTTTGGATACTATGTGCGTGCTCATTTCTGGTAGCTCAGATTTCAGCTAACTTAAGTTAGAATGTCATACTTAAGTAGGATAAATTCTTGGTGGCATTTTTTCCTGTTCCTTTCTCTACCATTGTTAGTCCTTAAAATCTCAGTGTTTACTTACACTAGTATACTTCTATAGTAATCTGTTTTAAAGCCATGTTTAATTCAAATTGTATGTTTTCAGTTTCTAAAATGTGTATATTCTGGTGGCTCTTGCTTTGAATCAGTCTTTAAAATATAATTTATTAAAACATCATAAAAATCAGCTTTCAAGAGGTACAAACATTGCTGGAACCATGTTATTAAATAGAAATAACAGTGTATTACTTTTTTAAATGTGGTTTTGCTACCGTTGCTCAAAAATAGCATGTACTTATTAATAGGCTTTTAAAATATTTACATGGAGCAAAAAAATATTGAGACTTTAATCTGATTAAATGTATTTAACCTTTATTTATCTTACCTTTAACAATAGTTCCCTTTTTTCTTAATTCTTCATACTATCCAAGATCAAGAAATTATTTTTTGCAAAAATTCTTTTTCTTTAAAACCATTTTATAAAATTCTTTATAATTGCTAAAATCCTTTCTGTAACCTACAGCATTAATTTTTTAGAAGTAAAGATGTGTAGTTTGTGTACATATTTCTTTTGATATAAATCTATAGAAATCTATTCCTTGTTGGTGCCTCATTTGAAATTTTCATTTATGAAGCTTTATTATATTTAGGGAATATGGCTGGAAATATGCTGTTCTTTCAGTTTGTACATATGTCTGGATATGCTTTTTTTCCCTCCTCAGCATCATTTAAACTATCTAATATATATATATCCTCATAAATGAGGAGCTATCATCCATCCCATTATATTTCATATTTTAAAAAATATTTTTCTGTGAATGTCCTTTGTATTTAATTTTAAGAAAAAAAAAGTCTGAATTTATATTTGAGATACTATTCAAATTGGTAGCTCATATTCCTTTTTATCTTCTGTGTCTTACGGATTTTTATACTATACATTCAAGCAAAAGAATTTATGCTTTTAAAAATGTATAATTGCTTTGGTGGTAACAATGTTAAAGAAAATATTAATTTATAACTAATGTAAATATATTGTTAAGTTAATACATATACTTTGCCTTCTACATAAAAAAGACCACTCACATTATTTGCTTATTTTTCTGCATGAAGCATACTGTATATGAGGCAGGGTGATATTAGTCATTGTCAGGTACTATGTAGAAGACATTGTTTACTTAGATATTCATTTATACTTGCATGATATTGAATCAACATATCATAGATTCTTCACAGACTCTGTTCTCCCATGCTGCTGCTAGATGTTGTAAATAAATTCAAACGGATTTGGGCTGTTATATAAGATTTGTTGGGTGCTTCCATTATTAAAACAAGATGCAACGTTTAGTCCCTAATTTGAGGATAATGATCACCAACTTCCACACATTTCTGAGTTGGCATAGTTTTATTTAGTGTTTAACTTTATCTGAATGTCATAAAGCACCATTTACTTTGCCATTTTGGATGTTAATTAATAACAAGTTGTAGTTTTGACTGTTTTGCCCACTGCAGGTGACCAACTGAGTGCCATATTGAATTCAATTCAGTCACGGCCCAATCTCCCAGCTCCTTCCATCTTTGATCAAGCTGCAAAACCTCCCACTTCCCTAGTCCACAGCCCATTTGTGTTCGGACAGCCCCTTTCCTTCCAGCAGCCTCAGCTTCAGAGTAAGTCTGTCAGTCTTACCTGCCTCATCAAGCCATTTCTGAAGCTTTGTTGAGTTGTTTATCAGTTACTAATTATTTATCAACTCACCAGACTGGTTTTATTTAATGAAGATGTTATCCCTTCCCACATTTTTGAAACATTTAAGCTATTCTGAGCAAGACATTCTGCAGCTAAGACATTTGTTTTTAATCACACGTTTTTTTAAGTGTAGATATTAAAATATGACTTATGCTTTCTATTCTAATTCCTGTATTAGCAAATTATACTATAAAACATGTTAAGAAAAACATTTGATTTAAAATTTTCATTTGTAATATGCACAATTATGGTAAGCATTCGTTATAGGGGTAACTTTCATTGTTTTACACTGGATTTTTGTTGCTCAGAGATGCCCCAGAGAATAAATCTATTTCACTACACCAGTAGGTGGAGGAGAGATGTTCTGGGCAGATTTGTTTTTCTTAAGTGAATTTTGTCACCATAAAATATATACCAACTTAGTTTTCCAAATTTTCTCAAATTGTTGTTTCTTCTCTTTTTATATTTTTGTTGTTATTCTAATACTTAATACATTAAACTGATCGTTTGATTCCAGTTCTGCTTCCTTGGATTGCTCTAGCCCTTTACCCATGATAGTAATTCACAATATGGAAAATAGACCCAAAGAAATTACACTTAACTGAGTGTTCTTTTTTCTTAATAGCCTGAGGCTCCCACTTAAAATTCTCAAAGCTCCTTGCAATATGACAGCTGTACGTTCTTCTTGGCCTTCAGTTCACATGTTGACCGTCCAATATAAAAATGTGCTCATTGAATGACATGTTTTATGGAAGTATCTGCTTACATTCCCATTATTTGGATTCAAATATATGACCTCTTTCCTTTAATAAAGTACATTCACACTGAGGTCTAAGTTATTTTTCTACAAAATTATTTTGATGACTTTTATTAGGATTACTTAAGAGATTTCCAGCTCATTTAGTTTTTATTAGGAGCCAGGGTCGAATATAGTTAGCAAATGATGTTATTCATTGTGATATAATTATCTACCTTAGGTAAAGAGTACACAAGAGTATGAACTTTTCTAGATTTGTAATATACATTAGGCAAGTTCAGTTAATGAAATCAATTAGTTTGGAAATAAAAGTAGCATCCACTTCTAGCTAATCATCATCTCTATTCATATAGAGATGATGATTAAAAGAATTATTGTCACTTAAAAGAATTTCAAGGAAATTCATTGTCACTTAAAAGAATTTCAAGGAAACATAATAGTGTCATGTGTGTGAAATAGTTTCTTCCTTCCTTGATAAGAATTGTGGAAGAATGAAAGAGAAGTGAAGTCTGAGTTTACAAATTTTATGGAGCAACAGATTTTTTACATTTAGATGTACCCTGGTTGCAGGAGGTCTTACTGATAAGCACAAGGAAAAAACAAAAAGGAAAAAAGTCATAATCAGGCAGAAAATTCATATTATATATATAACTTTTTAAACAGAAATTACCCTGTTTTTTGTCAGTTACTCTGTTAATGTCACAGTGGCAGCAGACAAGAGAACTAAGGAATAAGGACCCTTTTGTTTGACCTAAAGGTTCACTACCAGCCTTCTCAAAAACAAGTGTAACTACTGTTTTTATTTTACCAAATTATTTAATGAAATATTTCAAAGCAATATATAAAGACCATGATAAATCAGATTTGTCTCTTTGAAAGATTAATAAGTTTCCAACTGACATTGTGTCAGTATAGTTTTATGCATATTGTGTCTAAGTGTTATCAGTACCACCGCTTCCTTTACCACCATCTCAGAGCAAATTTGAAATCATGGCTTAGAAATATATCAGTTACCAATTTTCTGAATCATTACTTGCCTGTACTGTAACAATGGGAATTACCTGGATCTTTTTACAGACCTGTTATTCTCAGCAGAGTATAACTGAAGTTTGACTTCCAAATTCCAGAAACCAGAAGTCTTAATCTTTAGCATAACTAAAAAACCTGTAGAATCTAAAAATAGTTTTAATATTTTGGAAGTAAATTAGAATTATATTAATCATATCCTATTAGGAAAGTTGAATGTGGCAGTCTACCTGAGTAAATTTTCTTTTCCTAAACTTCACTGCCATCCATCCCACCGGCATTTCATCTTGCTTAGAAGGTGGATTATGCATACTGAATTTCCTTTACTAATTA